TACCCTGGTCAGATATGAATTTTTTAATGGTACGACCATATTGAGTCTGAACCATTGTCATAAAATTTTTAGAAATGGTGTATACCTCATTTTTGGTTTTCATAAGATAAACCCAAGTAACACGACTGTGATCATCAATGAACAACACGAACTATCGAAATCCAAGACGAATGAACAAGATCAAAAGGTGTTAAAGCAGATTTATTACTACTAGCAGGATAATTGGAACGAACATGTTTAGCCATATGACATGTTTCACAGGATAAATCTGACACTGCCACGTTACAAAATAAGGAAGGAAATAAAATTTTTAAATAACCAAAAGAAATATGTCCTAAACGCATGCGCCAACGCATAAGCTAGGCTTTATTAGATGAAACAATATTAGAAAATGAAGCTGAATGTGCTTGAGGTGACAAAGGAGAATCCAATAGGTATAAACCGTCCAATTCACGCCCATTGCCAATCGTCCGTTTCGACACCAGATCCTGAAAAATACAATGAGAGAGAAAAAACGTTACACTACAATTTAATTGTTTGGTAACACTACTAACAGAAATGAGATTTGTAGTCAACTTTGGAACATGAAGTGTATTTGACAAAGTTAATGAAGGAGTAACTAATATGTGACCTTTCCAAGCAATGGAAGATGGAGAGCCATCCGCCAGGCGGACCTTGCGTTGGCCAGAGCAGATACTATAAGATTGGAAGAGTGAGGACATACTAGTCATATTGTCTGAAGCACCAGAATCAATGATCTATGGTGTTGAAGATGTAGATACGCTATATGCAGACGCAATAGTACGTGAGTGGGCATAAGTGGAGGTTGGTTGAGATGATGCCTCCATTTGGTTGAAGAATTGCTTGAACTTATCCAAGTCAGCTTGAGTCAAGGTAACTGTAGCCGAAGATGTAGTGGCAGGGTTGTCAGGAGTTGACAACGAGACTGGTTGTGTAGCAGAATGTGCAGAGGATCGAGGCTGTTGTTTCTGTTGCGGCGGACGTCCATGTAAAGCATAACAACGAGATTTGATGTGACCAATTTTTCTGCAATGGTCACGCCGTCCACGTTGTCGTCCCAGAGGAGGACTGGTGGTAGTGCTCTGAACTGACTGGGATGGTGAAGTTTCTGAAAGGTTGGGAGCCCGAACTGTCATAACAGAACGATCAACAAAAACAACACTATGGATGAGTCTGGCAGCTCTCATCTGACAATACATAGGAGTATGCATCCTCAAGAGTAGGGAATGAAGATAAGCCCAATAAATGAACACGAGCATACTCAAACTCGTCATTTAACCCGACAAGAAACTGAAACACTCGATTCTTCTCCACAATTCCTGCATATAAAACTGCATCATCTGGATGCTTCCAAGAGTGGAAGGAATCATAATGTGACATCTCCTCCCAAATAGCACGAAGCTTGGCGATGTAACCTGAAACTGTCAAGTCACCCTAAGAAATCCTGGTGATATCTCGCCCTAGTTGGAAATTTCGTGCATTATTCTGCCTCTGAGAATAAGTGCGTTGAACTGAATGCTAAATTTGCTTAGTAGTCTTCATTAACATATAGCCAACAACTATGTTTGGTTGCATCGAATTAACTAGCCAAAACATAACCATAGCGTTATCTGCAAACCACTGTGGATATGCCTTCTCTGACTCAGCTGGCTCATTCTCAGAACCAATAATATAGCTAATCTTGCCTTTGCCACCAATGAACATCTTGGCAGACTGTGCCCAAATCAAATAGTTGGAACCATCCAACTTCACTGTGGTGATTTGAAGTCTTGGATTTTCTGATGAGTTAGTAGGAAAAATGGCACCATCACCCACAGAACTTGAGCCAAGAGAATTAACAGTCGAGGACCCTGAATCTACCATAATCTGTCACACGACAATAAAATACTCCAAAAATACCACAAATTCTGTTAATAAATCAAAGGGTCTCCTCAGACCATAAACAATAACAATGTCTCCTCAAACCATTCCCGAAAAATCCAAATACATACCTTTTTCAAGGAACGCTGTCCGCTTACATATAGCCAGACAGCCTCTTTCTTAATATCCGGAACCTCTTTGTAAACTATTTTTTTTTTTACCCAGCCTTTCTAGGTGTTGGAAACCAACTATCCCAATTTACCCAACCCTAGAAGAGTGAAAAAGAAATTGTAAATCTTAAAAATACCTGTTTTCGATCACAAAACAGAAACACAAAAAACATGTGCAGGCAACGTCACACGATGTCACAAACAGCCTAAGGTAGCTGTCGCACAAGTAGCAAGGCTGCTGAAAGGTGTGGAAAGGTGTTGGCTCTGATACCAAGTAGAAATATATAAAAAGAAGAGAAATGAGAGAATTGCATAAAGGCTTGAATGATATGAATTACTCATTCACAGCTCTAGTATTTATAGATAAAATGAGCACATGCTCATATTACAAGGAAACTAAATCAAATCAAAATCAAATCACAACTTATTCTAAAGCATATTCTATGGCATATTCTATAGCATAGTCAAATCTCTGCTATTATGGTAAGAAATATCATAAATCGTGGTATCATATATGCTAACATATGCATAGTCAAATCTCTGCTATTATGGTAAGGCATACCATAAATCATGGTATCATATATGCTAACAATAACTATCACAATTCAAGACAAAAAGGTCACTACAAATAGCCATTTTTTATATTTAGGGTTCGTGCTACAACATGATGGAGAGATAGATGAAGGTGCAGTAAGTATGATTGAAGCAAAATAGAGAAAATGGAGACAAGTTAGTGGCTTTTTATGTGACAAACAAATACCAAGTAAGTTAAAAAGAAAATTTTATAGAATGATTATTAGGGTAATTATATTATATGGAGAAGAATGTTCGGTGTTAAAAAGAAAATAAGAACAATGCATTCATGTAGCTGAAATGATGTTAAGATGGATGATGGGAGTGACTAAAAAAAGGCAAGATTAATGATCAATATGTGAGGGGGAAAGTATGAATGATGCCTATATAAAATAAGAGAAAGTTGACGTAAGTGATATTGTCACATACACCGAAGACGGATGGATACACCGGTAAGAAAAGGTAGTTTTATTTGCATAGAAGGTAAGAGACAAAGGAGCCTACAAAATCTCATGTGTGATGAAGTTACTAGCAATGCTATTTATTATTATAGGAGTGATTTTAGGAATCCTCATCAATGTATTTTTTTTCATATTTATCACTTGAATTCTTTCACCTATATATAGAGGTGATCATTCTAAACAAAACTAAGAGACAATATAATAAAAGTGATGTAGCCCTTTGGTATCTGTTTGCCGTGGATGTAGGCCATGGTAACTGAACCACGTATATTCTTGTGTTACTTCATTCTTAGTTTTTCTCTTCAATCTTTTATTTTCTATCAACATGATATCAGAGCAAGTTTATCATATCCTACTCTAAACTCATTCAACTCTTCTCTATCTCACTTGAATTTTGTGATCAGATTTACTCATCTCTGATCTTCGGATCAAATAATCTCGAATCTCTGGATCTACTCGTCTAGGACTCTCGACAACTTTCTATTTGGTTTCAAGTTGGATATTTGAGTTAAAATCTCCGTGTACCAATTTGAAGGGGGGGGGGGGGGGGGGGGTGGACTTATGGAGAATGTATTATTAATATTTATCACATGTTTATATTCTTTCACCTATAAATAAAGGTTGTCATTGTATAGAAAATTAAGAGAGAATAAAATAAAAGTGATGTAGCGCTTTGGGTTTTGTTTGCTATGGATGGAGGTCGTAGTGGCCGAACCATGTATATCCTTGGGTTGTTTCATTCTTAATTTCTCTCTTCAATCTTTTATTATTTATCAACATGATATCAGAAAAGGTTTATCATACCCTACTCTATACTCATTCAACTCTCCTCGTCTCGCTCGAATGTTGTGATCGGATCTCATTGTCTCGGATCTTCGGATCTATTCGTCTTGGATATCATGGGTGACAAATCCAAAATCAAGGACTCTCGTCAACTTCGTATTTAGTTTCAAGTTGGACACTTGAGTTAAAATCTCCGTGTACCAACCTTAGGGGGAGTGTTAGAGAATTTCATTTTAGAAGTGATTTAAGTCTTCGATAGAATATTGATTGGAGTGATTCGTGGGATTGATTTTAGGGATTCTCCATCAATGTATTTTTCTTATTTATCATAAGTTTGTATTCTTTTACCTATAAATAGAGGTGTCATTGTAAAGAAAATTAGGAGTAGGCATAGTGACCGAACCACGTATATCCTTGTGTTGTTTCATTCTTATTTTCTCTCGTCAATCTTTTATTTTCTTATCAACAACTTGTTTTCTTTCACCTATAAATAGAGGTGGTCATTATAAACAAAACTAAGAGACAATATAATAGAAGTGATGTTATCCTTTGGGCTTTGTGTGCCATGAATGTAGGCCATAGTGGCCAAACCACATATATCCTTGTGTTATTTCATTCTTAATTTCCCTCTTCAATCTTTTACCTTTCTTATCAACATTAATAAATTAAAATATTCTCTTAAACGAAGGTATTCATGCTTGGATGGCGGCTCAAGATCATAATAAGAGACATGACTTGTAATAGAAACTAATGAAAAAAGAGAATTCATTTGGCTAACCCTATTCATACCGGATAAAGGCAAGGATGATTAATATGGGTGGGATAAAGGCAAGGATGATGATGATGATGATGATTTCAAAAGTATCATAAATTGGTTTGTTTACCAGAAAAAGGATACCATGTAGTCTTCAGCATAGTACAGGGTTGCTAGGCGACAGAATTTTCTTCTATGTAACTCCATGATGCTATTTCTTTTTCCGAAGTTCCATGATGCTATTTCTTTTTCCGAAGTTCCATGATGCTATTTCATGCTCAACTTTTTACAATGTTATTGGCCTTTTCTGTTTTATTTTATTTTTCCCTGAAACTGTTTAAAAAAAGGGCTGCTTATCATTGCCATTCAAATTTTCAGGCAGAATTAATTGACCCTGCGGTGAAGGGAACACTTAGTGTTCTTAGATCATGTGCAAAGGTTCCATCTATCAAGAGGGTGGTGGTAACTTCTTCCATGGCCTCAGTTATGTCCAATAGAAAACCTCGAAATCCTGATGTGGTAATCGATGAGACTTGGTTTTCAGATAAGGGATTTTGTGAGGAATCAAAGGTGTGTATATAATTTAATTATTTCAGGTGTTATTGGCATTTAAGTTATTTATTATTTTTTGTCTTTTCAGAAAGATTGCATATGCTGGTTCTTTTCATAGTGCTTCATATTAGGATTTTACGGTTATGTGTCAATGATGATGTAACTGATGTTACTAAAAACCTGAAAGAATATCAGTAATATTTTCATTTTGGTTTCCATGTGAACTGGAGCCTGGTCGTGTAAATATAACAAATTATACAGGTATATCCTTTGTTTAAATTGCACTGACCATCCTTGAGGTTTTACGAAATTACATGCGGATAAAACCTATCAATTTATCACGGTCAGCACTCCCCTAGGTGGTTGCCAGTGTGTAAAGCATTGTAGTTAAAAAAGGTGGTGAGATGAGTGCGTGTCACGACATGACAGCATATTGCAAAGTGACTTGCACAACATCCCACGAGGTGGCAATTTATCTGGCAAGACATGAGTGTGTCCTGAAAGACTTACAAAACAGTGTCATCTTCCTAATGTTGTACTGGGTCTTGTTATCGCATTGGACGCCAGCGAGACCAAGAGGACTTGATTGAGTCAACTTGAACATGCATAGTACTTTGACTCTTGGTTTTGATGCTCTGTTTGACTCTGGACATTATATGTCATGCATGAAAAAACAAAAAAGATGTCTATTTGTATTCATTCAGATTTTAACTAGTCAAGTAAGATTGAAAATATTAACGTTAAATATTAAAGTCGCATTGGTAACAGTACAGAATTATCATCTTAAACATAATCAATGATTTCAGTGACTCTGTTAGTTACTTTATGTAATGTTATTTAAAGCCCATTTTTATATGGCAATTTTTTTTGGGTCCGAGGAAGGATCTTGAACATCGAAAACCCTTTTATCCTGTCACATTGATTGGGGACAAAAACCCTTTCATCTTCTTTGTAAAAATGATATTTTGATCTGCTTCCTTCTTTTTATTTACCAAAAGGAAATTGATATTTTGATATCCATGAAATGTTAGTTAATAGCTCGTATTGATTTTGACTAGTATCAATTGCGCTTGTTTCTTCAACAATACTGTTTGATAAGTGTTAACTTGCATTAATTCTCTTCATTATATGCTATTCATCATTTTCATATTTTTCAGCAATGGTATGCACTTTCAAAAACCTTGGCTGAGGAAGCTGCTTGGAATTTTGCAAAAGAGAACGGGATCGACTTGGTGATACTAAATCCAGGATTTGTGATTGGTCCTTTCTTACAGCCAACTCTCAATCTCACTACCGAGGCAATTCTGAACCTCATAAAAACTGGTACTTGTCTGCAACAAATGACAATGATGTGTGATTTATTTTTCTACATGACTTTCTATAGAATCTTCACTCTAATTTTTGAGTTAACTCATCAGGCAAACCTGTAGGAGAAGAACTATAAGCACAAAATGACATAGAAAGGCAATAATATTCCTTTCTAACTTTTGTTGCTTCAACTAATGTGTTTCTGTTTTAGGTGATTAAGTCAGCGGATGTGGAAAGTTAAAAGGAAAAAAACTATTTCCTGCTGCAAGAACAAGTGTAGAATGATATAGGAGTATGCATATATACTGAAACGTTTGGCTTAGAATAGGCATGTGTCTAAAATTAGAAATTTTCTTCCTGTTGGTTTGACTAATTACTGTCTTTGTATCAATTTAATACATGGCATACTTGTAATGGATTTACAGTTTTAAAGATAGAGAGTATGATTTTCAGTCCATGTTACACAATTTTTTGCAATGAATAGAAGAGAAGAAATATAGGAGAAATATGTAAAGGCTTTAAAGAGATAATTCACTCATTCACAGTTTTGGTATTTATATATTAAATGAGCACATGAAAGAACACCAAATAGAAATACTGCAGATTCTATGCCTAAATATATGCGCAAGTAAAGTCAAATCTCATGATTCTTGCCTAACATATCAAATCCTAAGATTCTAGGCTAACATCTCTAACAAGAAGTTACTTTCCTGAGGAGCTCATGGATGTTGTTTTTATTTTACGTGCCCTGGGTAAAATTCTTACTGTAGACAACTTGATTAGATGGCTGAATTGGTGTTGGATGTGCAAGAGCACCGAAAAATGAGTCGATCATCTCTTGGTGCATTGCTTGGTGCCTTTTTCATATTCTTGCTCTATTTGAGGTTCAATGGTTCATCCCAAGGTTGGTGATATATGTACTGGAGAGTGGAGACTTGGAGGGAGGCAAGTATATAATAAAAGGACCATTCTTATATGGAGGGCGACTCTGCATTGTATGGAAGGAGAGGAAGCGTACATTTTATAGTGAGGTGCAAAGAAATTACCAAGCATGTTACTTGGTTCTGTTATTGAGTCACTTCAAATATAATATCCAGACAAAAGGCATGATAGAAAACCCAAATGGCTGCCTGCCAGTTATATACTAATTACCAGCAAAAGTCATTTCTCTTCTTAACACAACCTAACATGTGTAATTTTTATATAATGCAGGGACTGAAGTCTTCGCTGATTCAATATATAGATTTGTTGATGTACGAGATGTTTCCTCTGCACATATTCAAGCATTTGAGGTTCCTTCTGCTAGTGGCAGACATTTATTGGTCGGGAAAGTAACATACTCTTCTGAGGCTCTGAATATTGTGCACAAACTTTACCCTACTCTCAACCTTCCAAAAATGTAAGTTATTTTTATTTTCCTTCAGTCCCATTAACAGAAGCAATTCAAGTTGATTTAGAAATTAACTAATATACCTCATGCCATGGTGCTTATACTTTCATTAGTTTTATTTGAAGGAAGAAATTGAGAACTTTCTATCCTCACTCATCTAAATAAAAATTTATATATTGAAAGTAAACTCATATTTATGGTCAATTACTGCCAGGGACTTGGATCATGTTAAGCACATTAAATGTGAGGGAGCTCAGAGAGTTGTATGGTGGAGAAAATAAAAGAAATGAAGAAGATTTACTTTCAAATTCAATGCAGTAAACTTACAGAAAGTGCTTGAAATTTCGGATTTGACAATTTTTACTCATATAAGAATATAGTTGATTATGCAATATAGGTTAGTGAAGGCAGAGAGATGCATAAATTTAGAATATGACCTGTTTAAGAAACTATAGTCATTTAGAAAACAAAAATAAAAAAGAAAGAAAATAAAAAAATAAAATTGAAGTTTGGGTATCAATTTATAAACGCTGTAGAATATACAAGAATAGGAATGATTAAAAATTCTGTTGTTTCTTATTGTGGCCAAAAATGTCTAGGTTATGTTTGTAATTTGGCTTAACAAATTGTCCAAGAAGATCATAAAGCTTAAAGAATATCTAATGATTGGAGGAAAAGGTCTATATCTTTCATATGTGTTCGATAGTAATACTTACAGCTGCACCAATAATTATGATATCAAATTTATCACATATATTAGTAATATCTTTACTTATAAAGTTTGTGTGCCAAAACCTATCGGAACAATTTTGTTCCATAGGCAAATAATGAAGAGGTCTAAAACAATATATAGAAAGGAACTTAGTATTATACTTACTGACTTAAGAAAATTGTATGATGGTCCTTGAAGTATTATTTGATAGATTTATTTAAAGAAAGGGGCATAGATTAGATAGTAATATCTGTACTTATAAAGTTTGTGTGCCATAACCTATCGGAACAATTTTGTTCCATAGGCAAATAATGAAGAGGTCTAAAACAATATATTGAAAGGAACTTAGTATTATGCTTACTGACTTAAGAAAATTGTATGATGGTCCTTGAAGTATTATTTGATAGATTTATTTAAAGAAATGGGCATAGATTAGATATCTTACTTGATCACGATATTATGTTTAGAGTGCCAACTAGCGTGAGAACAAAGAGTGATAAGTGAATTTCCAATCTTTATATACTCGCATTTTTCTATAAGTTCTTTGCCCCTCCCTCGATAAGTACAGTTCATTGAAGTAGTGCAGAAAGGGGCTGCAACTTATACATGAAGTATACAATAGAACAGCCCACATCCAGGCACACTTTAATACTTAATGACAATCCTACTTATCCACAAAACTCAAATGGAATATGAGAGAAGGGAATGTACTGATGATAGTATGGGCCAATGACTAAATCAACTAAGTGAAAGGATTTTACTGAAGTTACTAGCCTGCAAGATGAGGCCCTAAAACATGGACTGTGGCAGTGAGAGAAGACACTTTAGCTGATGTTTTATTGAAGATTAGGCCATGCGGCCATGGATGGTGCCAAATGGAAGAAAATTAAATTAATAAATTGCATGGCTGACCTATGAAGATTTATTAAGATTCTTCTTCTTGTTGTCTCATGGATAAAATATCATTCAAGGATGTAGATTTCGAAAATTGTGAGGTCAGCACAATATATGTATATATATATATATATATATCTGAAAACTCTTTTACATTCATGAGCTAGCTTTTTCTTTTTCATATATGACTGGCAAAATTCCATACACATTGGAACTCTAAGGCCTAATTGATGTGGCATTCTCTCATTACATTTCAATTTTTAAATTTTTTTTTTTTTTGGGGGGGAGGGGGGGTGGTTGGGTGTTGGGGGCTCAATATAGCAATCTAGAGTGCACAAGTTCTTCCTATTTATCGTCCATGTTATAATGCACAGTAGAGATGGTTATTTTGGGAACTAAATATAAACATTACCAACTATTGAATAAAAAGTGAATATATTTAGGATCCAAGCAGTTTGTTTTCGTTGCATTTATTCTATATATACACTAATTCTTCAGTTTAAAATTATTTAATGAATGTGTAGACTTAGTACGTCTTCATAGCCAAAATGCATCTCCATGCCATGGCATGTTGTCTGTATATCTGCAACGGACCAGTGAGCTTTTGCATGATATGGTACAACGAATTATTTTAACCAACCACTCAGTAAGATGTGGTCTAGTGTCACTGACTCACTGATATGTTACAGAACGTCATGCTCTTTCCTTGTATTCTGTTTTGGTAATACCATCCAGAAATGTGTTTACAACTGAATGCTTAATGTGTTAGACATGTATGATGCGACTGCTGTACCATCCAGAAATGTGTTCACTTAAGCCTCTTAATATTGTTGTATATTATTTTAATGGGGAAGAAATAATGTAAAGATAAAACAAAAAATAATTTACCGAAACAAAAAGACAAAACAAACAATTAAGACTGGTTATCGTAAACATGGACAGCACAACATACAAATTAATTTATTTTTTAGTTTTTATTTTTGTTGTTAAAAGTAAAATACACTAGCACATCCTCTTTGTCCCACTCCAGATGAGAACCTTCAGTCTCCTCCTTCCGAGGTGGAAATGTCACTCAAACTACTGCTTGGTGGCACATTTTTTATTTTAATTACTAGGTGGTTTCTTCTGTTCTTTTATGAATTAAACATAATCCAATGACTTCACTATCCTAGGAATTTCTTGTTGTCGCTAGAAGCACTTTCCCTTGAAGATTGTAGAATTCTGATTTCTGACTGGACTTGCATTTTTTCGTCATAGCAGATGTGAAGATGAAAAGCGTCCCATGCCACCTTACCACATCTCCAAGGAGAAGGCAAAAAGTTTGGGCATTGATTTCTGTTCTCTTGAGGTGAGCCTCATGGACACTGTCGAAAGCTTGAAGGAGAAGAACTTTCTCAGCTTTTGAATTATAAGATATACCAGAAAATGATCCAAATGCGTGTGTAATGGAAAAATATTTGTAGAATATGTATTAGAACTCTGCAGATTGAATAATTCCCAGACTGATAGGTCTGCTGTTTCCAATTTCATTTATGAAGGTGTGTATTCTCCTTGCAAAAGAAACCAATAATCTATTATCTATGTGAGAGATTGAAATTTTGAGTGTTTTGTATACAGTAACATGTTCAAATTCATTTCTCTGAAACTTATTAATGCTGTCTGAAACACATATACATACAGACAGAGCTATACACAAGAAGTAAAAATCCATTGAACTTTCCAAATGAAAATACCATGAACTAAATTATTATTGTTCAAACAAAAATATATAATAAAGGCTCTTCAAATGTTTTGCTGATCAACCGGTCCAAACGAATACAAACTTGAGATTGAGATTGAGATTGAGATTGCTAGGAACACCAGAATTGTTATAGCTTCACAGGTACAAGGGAAAAAAGTCGAAATCTTCTTGATACGTGGATGCCCTACAATTTTCCAGTTTTTCTCATCGAACTAATCAAATTCGATGCCAACTGGAGAAAGAGCTAAAGAACGGCTGTTTGAAATGTACCTTGGTGGCCAATATGTGAAGTGACACCATAAATTGTCGAAGGATACGTTTTTTTATTTTTTACCAAGTGGTTACAAATTAATTACAGTGGGACTAGAATTAATAATTTCCATTGATAAATAAATGTAGTAACAGATTACAATTACAAAGATAATGGCAGCAAGATTTTGAGCTACAGAACAGAAGGTAGGCTAATCTAAGGATTATGGGGTTTACAGGAATTGCTTAACGAATTTCGAAATAAAATGAGAGATGGATTCATTGAGTGTTAATTCTTGTTGAAGTCACGAGCTACTAATTTTTCCGCCTAATGCGATGCATGACAACGAAGGTCTTGAACGATGAGGATTGAGGAAGACTGAAGGAAGACCTGGAAAATGTTCGTGTAGTGCAGGCAAATCAAGGAGCAGGAATCGCATAAACATCAAGGTTCTACTCAAGAATGGCAATCCATGATTGTCCTACATATGGTACCAATGATATTGATGCAGACTACCAAGTAAGATATGGCCTGGAAAAGTTCATGTCATACAGTCAATCCAAGGTGCAGGCGTTGGCCTGGTGAAGCAAACGTCCCACATCTTGAGGGGGAGAAGTTTTTGTACTTATAACGGGATGCCTCCTACCTGTGTAGAAGCGTTTTTAAAACCGGACAATATTCTCTGAGTGATGCGATGATCTGCTTAAACCAACTACACCCCAGTAGGCAGTACATAAGAAAGAAAGAGGTGTGCATCCAAGTCATCAGAGGCCTGGTGCCTGAATAAGGTCATAAAACACCGACTTTTTGCTGTCAAAAAATCCATGACAGGTTTAGTTCCAATCTGATGTTGAATGTTTTTACCATGACCAGTTTTAAGTAACAGGTGTTATTAATATATCACAGAATAAAGTAATTAAGTTAAGAAAGTCTTTCCATTACGAATTTCAAGTCACAAGTACAATTAAAATGTAAGTATGATTTTCCTCCTAGTTTTCACTTCAATGAACAACCTTTATACGTATGCCCAAACAAAATTTTCCCAAATCCATAACCCTGGAAGCTCCACATCTATAGCAATGGTTTCAAGGGATAATCCTCGCACCCTTTTGCAGGTCTTCCTGTTCTTGCAATGATAAATCCTTCTGTTCTGCTTTCTGGATGGCACTAAAGGCTTGAACTGTGTTGCATAAGAAATTTTACTTTCAAACGTTTTAGATCAGTCTGTAAGAACAAACGAGTAATTAAACAACCCGCATAAGATTCTGAGTAGTCAGACCAAGAAAATCCGTGCAAAAAAACTCAAATTTGGTTCCAAAATTTGGAAGTATGGGAAAATGTGATATTTATTGAAGAATCTCTGCATGTTATCAGCTACCCACTAGCCATTTATGGGAGTTGCTTCAATCTCAAGATAAGCTATGGTAAAAGCGTCAATAAAAAAAAGGCACTTTAGTTTCCAAATGCATTTAGGGGAGAGCAAACAAACAAACCCATTAAATGAAGAAGAACAAGACAAGACCCTTTTACTTCATGTTCCTATATTGAGTTGATACGACGTTCTATCTCAAAACCTCTTTGCTTTGGTCGGTTCTAGCCGATGGGAAAGAACAAATGAATGCAATTTGGGACCTACCAACTCGTTAATGAATACAAAAGGGTCTTTCGAAAAGTGAAGTGAAATTAAAAGACATTTCTTAATTTTTTATGCATTTTGTCATAGTTTTTCTTCAATGTATAGTTAATTATTACCAAATTAAAAGAAATGTTAGTGATAAAAGACACCTAGAGTTAGCCCAAAATTATTAGAAGGAAATTCTTTGAAACGTATCTCAGACACCAAAATTAAAGGTTCTTTAGGTGAAGTGTCAAAAGTAACTAAAAACCAAACTTGAGGTTGACCTTAATCAGAAGCCATATCTACGTAATAATAAAAAAATTACAATATTCAGGAGCGGAGTCAGGATTCAGTGTAAAGATGGAGCTAGGATTCAGTATATGGGTGGCCGTAGTATTAACAGTTTTACCAATATAATATAATAATATTTTAAGTCAAAAGTCCTTCATGATTGATTAGATACATACAAAAATATATCTAGCCAAAATTAGACCAATTTGTTTACAAAACAATAATTAGCCTATATCTAGTCAAATATGGCATACATATATACAAAAAGAAACCTAAAAGACCAAACAACTATTACAAAAGCTGAGCTCGACGATCTTTTAGAGAAGAAAAATTATCTATAATTGAATCTATACTAAAAGTTTGAGCAATTTATTTTTTAATACTGACACTTCAGTAATCTGCAAGAAACTCATACTCCATCCTGTTGCGCAGTTGTGTTTTGACAAGTTTCATAGTTGAAAATTCCGTTTCCTTAGTTGCCGTGGAAACAGAAAGAGTTAAGACAAGACGAATCAACCTATCAATCAAAAAATAGATTTTTAACTTCTTTGTTTCCACTAATCAACCTATCAATCAAAAAATAGTTCAGAAATTGTTGACATATTTTTCAAATATGAATGAACCGGCACTTCAACCTTATAATGTTGCAATTGGAATGTCAAAATAATCCTCTCTTGGTCCATGAAATCTTGAGGATAAAATTCATCTACAAACGTGCAAATGTCTTCAACGTTAAAGAACTTGTAACCATCTCTAGTATCAAAAGCTGAGCTGAGAGGAACAAGTTTCATTTCCTTTTCACTAAATATGTTATTCAACTCCTGCAATTGTGAATCAATTATGCCATAAAATATATCTATTCGATAGTGGTGCTCATGTGTAATATTCTCTTGTGGGTGACATGACTGGCCGTTAATTTTTTTAGTATAAGGAACACTCAAATCAGGCACATTAATGTTGTGACGCTCACAAAATGATTTAACAATATCAAGTAAGTTGTTCCAACCATTTTCTCTCAATTTTAGAATGATTTGTTTTGTACTCGAAACCAATTGCATAGCATTTATAATATCTTGAGATTTTTGTTGCGAAGCTTGATAAAGGATATTACTTATTCCCATGATATCTTTTATCAAATACAAAATAAACACAAACTAAAATGATCTAAGAGTATTAAAACCAGTATCAGCATCTCCCCAGCTCTTGTTATTACATCCATCTTCAATGATGTTTTCAAGAACTAAACATGTTGGACCAAATAACCTTATCAAACTACAAATAGATTCAAAATGGGAGCCCCAACGAGTATCTCCAGTTCGTTGCAAGGTACCAATCTGATAAGCTCCTCGACTGGTTTCAAGTTCATCAAGATCTATCAAATGGACAAGTTTCATAACTTGAGCAGAATGTAATTCATCAGTTCGTTTGCAAGAAGCTCCGATGCTATTGATAATGAAGTTCAACTTTGAAAAGAATTGATGGACGACGATTACTTCTCTAGATGTGACAACTAATGCTAGTTATAGTCGGTGAGCTAAGCAATGCACATAATATGTATAAGGACAACCATTAAGAAATAATGTTTGCAAACCATTCCATTCACCATGCAAATTGCTAGCACCATCATAACCTTGACCTCAGAGATTGTGAACATTAAGATTATAGTGAGAAAGAACTGCACAAAGATCCTTTTTAAAATTCAATGAAGTTGTATCTTTGACATGCACAAGATCAAAAAAGTGTTCTTGTAAAAAACCATCCTTATCGACGTATCTTAAAACAAAAACCATTTGCTCTCTTTTAGATTCATCACGAGCTTCATCAACAAGAATACAAAACTTGGCATCACCGATATCTTCACGAATATTACTTCTCACTTTTCTAGAAAGAATATGCAAAATCTCATTTTGAATTTGTGGTGAGGTATACTTCGCATTTTTTGGAGCATTTTCAAGAACAATTTTAGCGACATCATCATTATATGATGCATAAGCCTTTACCATTTCAATGAAATTGCCTCGATTACTTGATTGAAGGGATTCATCATGCCCTCTAAAAGCACAATCTTGATAAGTAAGCCATCGGACCTTCAATCTTAGTTGGTTATTTGAAACTTATTCGGAAGTTTGTCTAACCATCACTGTATCAATATGACAATGTTGATTCATTAAGTCCTTACATACTGTCTCATCAATGTTATGAGTAGAATATGAACTTTCTCCCACATGATTTAAGAAAGCACACCTATTACCATCATTATTTATCTTCCAACTTCGAAATCCTTCACTAGTAAATGCATTGGTTCCGGGATGCCCTGATGGTTTCGCTCCAAAAAAAAAAAGTAAGGTAAGCAAAATGTAGTATCCTTTGAAAGAGAATACTCTAACCAGGTAGGAAATAATTTAAACTAAGATGATTGAAATAGATGAGGATGCTTTTTCGATCCATAAAGCGGATATTGTGAAAGCAGAATTTGGTATGCTTTCGCTTTGATATAAGCTCGTCGAACTTCATCATGTTTGTCAACAAGATAATCCTATATTTAATGATGTAATCATAGATCATGTTCTAAAAAGGTAGGATCAACTTTTGTATGTTCAACTCTTGGAGTGTGACGGCCTTGGTTGTTTTTTCAAGCCAGTGCATCTTGTGATGAACCGAAGTTTAACCCGATAACGGATCCGAATGCGGAAGCAAAAATAGAAAATAAGA